TGAGTCTCGGTCCATCACCTAGGGTGGAGTGCAGTGGTGCGATCATAGCTCACTGCAACCTCTGTTTCCAAGGCTCAAGCGATCCTCTCATCTCAGCCTCCTGAGTAGCGGGCACTACAGGTACATGCCACCATGTCCAGACTAATTTTGTTTATTTTATTTATTTATAGAGACAGGGTTTCTCTGTGTTCCCTAGTCTGGTCTCCAACTCCTGGGCCCAAGTGATCCACCTGGCCTTGCCTCCCAAAGTGCTGGCTGGGATTATAGGCGTGGGTCACTACTCCTAGCTAACTCCTTATATCTGTAGTGCTTGTACAGATACGTCAGTTTGAATTTTTTTTTTTTTTTTTTTGAGACAGAGTCTCGCTCTGTTGCCCAGTCTGGAGTGCAGTGGTGCAATCTCGACTCACTGCAAGCTCCGCCTCCTGGGTTCACGCTATTCTCCTGCTTCAGCCTCCTGAATAGCTGGGACTACAGGCACCTGCCACCAAGCCTGGCTAATTTTTTGTATTTTCAGTAGAGACAGGGTTTCACCGTGTTAGCCAGGATGGTCTCCGTCTCCTGACCTCGTGATCCACCCACCTCGGCCTCCCAAAGTGCTGGGATTACAGGCGTGAGCCACCGCGCCTGTCCTGATTTTTTTTTTTTAATTTCAAGTATAATGAACCATCGTTTGATTTGTATTTATTATCCCAGTGAAAACAATTTGTAGTTGTTATTCCTTTCTTTGCACAGAAATTTTCAAACCACTGATCCAAACCTCAAAATAGTTTGCTGAGAAATTCTTTAAAATACTACATAAAGAAGAAATTATTTTGCAATTATTACTTTTCCTGCTAATCATGAACAGTTGATGGATGTTGGTGGAAACAAAGATGGGATCCTTATATAGAACATCAGATCGCAGTGGCGCGATCTCAGCTCACTGCAACCTACACCTCACTGGCTCAAGCGATTCTTGTGCCTCAGCCTCCTGAGTCGCTGGAAAAAAATCTCAAGTTCTGCTAGAGTTTACTTAGTTTTAGTATAATGTTACAGGCGTGTGCCACAGGCGCATGGCACCACACTGGACTAATTTTTTATATTTTCTGACTGAGACACTGGGTCTTGCCATGTTACCCATGCTGGTCTCAAACTCCTGAGCTCAAGTGCTCTACCTGCCTTGGCCTCCCAAAATACTGGGATTACAGGCATGTCATTACCACATCTGGACCAAGGTTCTTTAGAATTTAACATACCTGTACTGTGGTGTATAGAAGGACAGCTCAGTCTTTTCACTATTTTTGTCTATTAATACCCAGCCTTCATTTCTATAGCATGTTGTCATTTGGCTGTTATTTTCTAAAAACAAAATTATAAACTCACATAGAAGCAGGCTACCCAGGAATATTACCCAGAGTCCATTTGAAGAACACTATCTTAGGTTCTTTATTTTTATTCTTCTAAACAGAGGCTGTTTTTAAGAATTTTTATATTTCTTCAAACACAAATAGAATAATTATAGTGAGGCCAGGAGCAGTGGCTCAGGCCTGTAATCCCAGCACTTTGGGAGGCCGAGGCGGGTGGATCACCAGAGGTCAGGAGTTCGAGACCATCCTGGCCAACATGGTGAAACCTCAACTCTACTAAAAATACAAAAATTAGCCGGGCATGGTGGCGGACGCCTCCCAGTTACTCGGGAGGCTGAGACAGGAGAATCGCTTGAACCCAGGAAGTGGAGGTTGCAGTGAGCCGAGATCACACCACTGCACTCCAACCTGGGCAACGAAGAGCGAAACTCCATCTTAAAAAAAAAAGGCACCTGGGCATGATGGCTCACACCTGTAATCCCAGCACTTTGGGAGGCCAACGCAGGTGAATCACAAGGTCAGGAGATTGAGACCATCCTGGCTAACACGGTGAAACCCTCTGTCTACTAAAAAATACAAAAAAATTAGCCGGACGTGGTGGTGGGCACCTGTAGTCCCAGCTTCTTGGGAGGCTGAGGCAGGAGAATGGCGTGAACCCGGGAGGTGGAGCTTGCAGTGAGCTGAGATCGGGCCACTACATTCCAGCCTGGGCAACAGAGCGAAGACTCCGTCTCAAAAAAAAATAACTAAATGAAAGATTAACTATAGTGTTCTAAATTACACAATCTTCTTACCTCTCTAGCAATTTCTTGGTGCACCATGATTATTTCAGGAAAGGGTAATTGCTTTAATCTGAATTTCCTTTTTGCGTTTCTCTTATGGTAGATTCAATAGAACGGAGTAATCCATCGAGATATTTTTCTATCTGCTTATGGTAATTGTTTCCTTCGCTGAAAGAATGCTTTGAGAGAGGAAGAGGGAAACATTAAATCCCTCTAATTGAATATAATGATCTTTTTGCTGTTTATATATCATTTGATGTTGGATTTAGAGGGATTAGAGACATTCGGAATTTTAAAAAGTAATAGTGTCCTCAAAAGTTGATTTTACATGTAAGTACAGTAGTACTTATATAAATAATGTGTGTGATAATTTGCACATAAAGAATTTTTTGTGCTTGTTGTGAATTAGGAACTAAAAAGAACTTACTCAGTAGTTGATAACTCAAGAGTACAGAGTAGGATCCAGTTTTTCTAATGACAGGCGACCTCATGATAGACTACTTTTGAGACTTGAAGACTGACGTGAAAATAAATACGAGCCAGAGCTTAATGCTAATTATAAAACACTAAAAGAATTAGAGAATTACAGTGAAGAATTAGAATGCAATTGCTATTTAAAATGTTTTTCCTTACCAACTTTGAGGAATAATAATGTATGGATAAGAAAGTTTATCCTTTTAAAGTGTGTCATTTGATGAGTTTTGACATTTACGCATACCCATGAAGCTCCGTTATAATCAAGACACAGAATGTTTGTATCATCCCCAAAGGTTCCTCTCCCCACTTTGCAGTCCATTCCGCTTTCTGCTCTGGCCCCAGACAACTACTAATCTGTTCTTTTTCACTATAGTTACATTCTGCATGAATGGAATCATAGTAGGTATATCTGGCTTCATTCCCTCAAAATGAAGATTTTTGAGATTCATCCGTGTTGTTCAGTATATTGGTAGTTTGCTCCAGTATATGCATTTTTTATTCATTCACCTATTGATACACATTTCTATTTAATACTTTGTGAGGTTCTGAAATTAGATACCAGTGATTAGAAAAAAAAAATCCTTAAAATCTTTTCATTTTTTTTTTTCTTTCTTTTTTTTTTTGAGACAGGATCTTGCTCTGTCACCCAGGCTGGAGTGCAGTGGTGCGATCTCGGCTCACTGCAACCTCAACATCCTGGGCTCAGGCAATCCTCCCACCTCAGTCCCCCAAGTAGCTGGGACTACAGGCATGCACCACCATGCCTGGTTAATTTTTGTATTTTTTTCTAGGGGTCTTGTCATGTTGCCCACGCTAGTCTCGAACTCCTGGACTCAAATGATCCACCTACCTCGCCCTCCCAAAGTGTGCTATGAGCCTCCCAAAGTGTGCTGTGAGCCACCGTGCAGGCCAAAATCTCTTCTTTTTTTTTTTTTTTTTTTTTTGGAGACTGAGTCTCACTCTGTTGCCCAGGCTGGAGTGCAGTGGCGTGACCTTGGCTCACTGCAACATCTGACTCCCTGATTCAAGTGATGCTCCTGCCTCAGCCTCCCTAGTAGCATACACCACCACGCCCAGCTAGTTTTTGTGTTTTTGGTAGAGGCGGGGTTTCACCATGTTGGCCAGGATGGTCTCCATCTCCTGACCTCGTGATCCACCTGCCTTGGCCTCCCAAACTGCTGGGATTACAGGCGTGAGCCACCACACCCAGCCTAAAATCTGTTAATTCTTAATAGAAAATGTTATGTTATGGCTTGTGAGCGAAAAATAAAGACTCTTTCTTGCTATCTTATTTTATGGATGATTTTTCTTTTTCTTTTCTTAAGGAGCTTGGATGTCCCTTGATTCCAAGTAAATAAGACACGTTTTGTTGGCTCATCTTTTAACCTAGATGCTTAGTATGGCATGAAGTACTATTCAGGAAGCTTTGACAGAGTATTAATTTTTTTAAAACTTATTCAATGATAATGAAATTTGAAAGATTTATAGTAATAATCTAACAGTGGTTTTCAGACTTGTGTACCTCAGTAAAAAAAATTTTGAGTGTGTATTACCAAGATAAATAGTTGTTTATAAATTCTGCATATCTTTTACTTTATTAATGTAATATGTACAGTATAAAATAAGACCAAAGTAGATATTTAAAAGGATGAGATAAAAGGTAATTATAAATAAATTGTTCTTTCTGCGCATCTAATGGATTGTCTTATGCATACCTGACTCGGAAACCAGATGTGTAGTATTGCCTATTCAAACAGTTAAAAACTACACCAGTAGATGGCATATTTTGACTTTTCATTCTACATAAATGTGTAATTTATGTGAACTGCTAGAGGAAGATAATTATTTATATATATTGTATAAAAATACCTTATAGTAAAGGAAAAAAGACAATTTTTAAATATTTTTTCCTAATCTCGTCCCATGAAATTTTTATTTTTTGTTTTTTACAAAAAAAATTTATATCTCAACCCTATTAACTGACCCATGAAATTTTCATACTACAAATACACTATGTATCTCTGTGTATATATAATGTGACGCTTTCAAGGACCACCAACAATTGTGATATCCAAGTTCATTTTTTATCCCTCAAGATCCAGTTTTTGTCTATTTGGAGTGTATCACCCTATTTAGAACACATGCTTTAGGGTGTAATTGTGTTTTTTCACCTATTACTTGACCTTTCTAATCTCATTTTTTTAAGTGACTAATAAATTAGTATTCATTCTGTTTGTCTGTAGCTACTGATGTCCATATCAGTAGCAGGGGGAGGTTGTAGGAAGCTTGTCTAACATTATGAAATGTACTGGAGGTAGTTCATAAGAGACAGGCTCTTCATGGGTCATTCACTTGTCCATAACATGACGTTTTGTTTCTGCATTTTCCACAGGATGCTATTCTGAAATACAATGTGGCGTATTCTAAGAAATGGGACTTTACAGCTTTGATCGATTTCTGGGATAAGGTAAAAGTATCCTTATTTCTTTATGAAAATATTATTGACTACTCTATAAGAAGGTTTGAGAAGAATACCCATAATTCAGCCACACTAAGATAATTATCATCTTTTAATTTTATAAATTTGCTGTTATATATATATCTTAGATAAATATAATTAGGAGTTAATATTGAATTTTGTTTTAGTCTCTTAGAATGCACATTTTCTGTTATATTTTCATACCATTATCAGCATTATCAAGGAATGTATAACAGTCCATGCTTAGATTTTGAGAATATAATGGTTCCCATATTCTCAAACATATAGGTTGCATCCAGTTTCACCCCCAATTACATTGTGACAACATCATTATATATGTATATATATTTTCCCATATTTGATATTGTTTCTTTAGGTGATTTCCAGAAATTACATGACTAAGTCAAAGGGCACAAAACATTTGTTTTAAAATCTTTTAAAAACTTTTGCCATAAAATCCTTTTTCCACAGATTAATTGTAGCAATTTACTATGCTGCCAGTAGTGGATAGGAATATCACTTTCACAGTACCATTAGCAGAGGGAGTCTTTTCATTTGTCTGTTGGCCATTTGTATATTTTCTTTGGAGAAATATCTACTCAAATTTTTTGTCTTTATTATTGAATTTTAGGCATTCTTTATATATTTTAGATGCAGGTTCCGTACCAGATATATGAGTTTCAAATATTTTCTCCCATTTTTTGTTTTTTTTTTCCTTTTTCATTTTCTTGATGGTACACTTTGAAGCTCAAAAATTTTTAATTTTGATGAAGTCTAGTTTATCATTTTTTTCTTCTGTTTTCAGGATCATATTTAAGAAGCTAATCTAAGATCATGAAGATTTATGTTTCTTCTAAGAATTTTATAGCTTTAGCTCTTACACTATGACCATTGCCCATTTAATTTTTGTATGTAATGTAAATTAGGGGTCCAATTTTATTATTTTCCATGTGAATATCCATTTTGAGTTAATTTTCGTATGTGGTATAAGGTAGGAGTTCAACTTCATTATTTTGCATGTGGATAACAAGTTGTGCCAGCACCATTTGTTGAAAAGACTCTTCTATCCCCGGTTGAATTGTGTTGGCACCTTTTCAAAATCAGTTGACGTAAGGATTGTTTCTGGCCTCTCATTTCTACTCCACTGATCTATGTGTCTATCCTTGTGCCAGTACCACACAGTCTTGGTTCCATAGCTTTGTGGTAAGTTTTAAAATCAGGAAGTGTGTGTCCTATAACTTCGTTTTTTTTTTCAAATTTGTTTTGCCTATTTTTGGATTCTTTGCATTTCACTCTGAGTTTTAGGATTAATTTGTTACTTTCTGCAACAAACCTAGGTGCTAAGGGCAATTCTTACATCATGTTAATAGAATCCAAACTAATTCTGCATTTCAAGGTAGTACCAGTAATTTCAGGATTATCTTACTGAGCTTTTGACCTATATGGCTTTTGCAAGGCAGACATAAAGTAAATAATGAAAGCCTTATCCTTGTGTCTGGAAATTGGATATCTCAGATATCCTTGAATCTAAATGTCTTTCACTGTTACAGCAATGTAATATTTGATGCAATGAAAAGTAGATCAAATTGATATAATCGTTATCCTTGTCACTTAAGTTATCAGGACATAACATTTGTGTTGTAACTTTCTGGGCTTAAATTGGATATAGTGGTTAATTGGGGTAAGAAGTAATGTATAATTTGATACCTTGAGATGGCAGTAAAACATGCCATTGGTTACAATACCTCTGTCACCTTGCTATGGAGTAGTCATTTTTTTCTCTCTTCTTAATCAGAATACTCAGACAGGACCTTGTTTCCCCTTTATCTGGTGACCTTGCCCAGAAGCATGCCTGAAACGGGTAATAGATAGCAAGTTTTGGTGTGTTTAGTGTAGATCATAAATATGAAATGATTACTCAGGTGCTGATGATAGTTTTACAGTTCTTTAGAGAGAAGAGTCCTTGCATTTTTGACCTCCTGATACTTACTTACTTATTTTTTTATGAGATGGAGTCTCATCTGTCACCCAGGCTGGAGTGCAGCGGCACAATCTCAGCTCACTGCAATTTCCGCCTTGCGGGTTCAAGCAATTCTCTTGCCTCAATCTCCCAAGTAGCTGGGATTACAGGTGCCCGCCACATTGCCCGGCTAATTTTTGTATTTTTAGTAGAGATGGGTTTTCGCCATGTTGGTGAGGCTGGTACGAAATTCCTGACCTTAAGTGATCCACCCACCTCGGCCTCCCAAAGTGCTGGGATTACAGGTGTGAGCCACCGCTCCCAACCAGACCTTCTGATTTGCATTTACTTTGTAAACATATGGAGGGTTGGAGAAGTCCCTACAACTACACTAAGTATTCATTTCTTATTGTATTCTTTAAGTCTTTGCCCATATATATATGATGTCTTATAGCTAGATATAAATGTATGTTTAAAATTTATGCTGTATTATAAAATCTTCTGTGATATATAACTTTATAATGGTTAGCCTTAATGGTTGCAGCAATATTCCATCAAATTGATAAATTGTCTGCTCATCCACTCCTGTGTTTGTTAGAGATTTGAGGAAATTTGTATAAAGCCTATCTAGAGATTTGAAGGTGGTTCTCCCTGTGATTGTTTGCTATTCTGTCATTATTGTATACTTAAAAAAATACCTTGGATGTTTAATACACTTGTGTATTTTTCTATCCATCAAATCTCCAGATACTATTCTAGAACTTTACCAAGTCGTGACCCACAGGGACAACATTGCCCATGCTTGCAGTGGTTAGTGAGAAGTAAGTGTCAGACATATATGTAGGTGGGATTGGTGGAAGCAAAGGTTTTTAGTGCAAGGGAAACAAATAAATTATATTTGATTTGCATTTTCAGTGTCTTGTTCTGCAGTAGGAAGGCTTGTTTATAAAGGGTTCTTTTTTTTTTTTTTTTTTTAAATTTAAAGCCAGGCTATAGTGCAGTGGTGCTGTCACAGCTCACTGCAGCCTCAACCTCCCGGGCTATATACATCCTCCCACTTTAGCCTCCCGTGTAGCTGGCACTACAGGCATGTGCTACCACACCTGGCTAGTTTTTTGTATTTTTTTGTAGAGACAGATTTTTCACCATTGTTACTTAGACTGTTACCCAAAATTGTCTTTATACAGATTTCTGTAGAGATGATTTTTCACCATTGTTACCCAGGCTGGTCTTGAACTCTTGGACTCAAGCAATCTTCGTTCCTCAGCCTCCCAAAGTGCTGGGATTATAGGCATGAGCCACTCTGCCTGGCCTATAAAGGGTTCTTTTTTTTTTTTGAGATGGATTCTAGCTCTGTCACCAGACTGGAATGCAGTGGCATAATCTTGGCTCACTGCAACTTCCCCCTCCTGGGTTCAAGCCATTCGCCTACCTCAGCCTCCCAAGTAGCTGGGACTACAGACGTGCGCCACCATGCCCAGCTAATTTTTTGTATTTTCATTAGAGACGGGGTTTCACCATGTTGGCCATCATGGTCTCAATCTCTTGACCTCATGATCCTCCCTCCTCAGCCTCCCAAAGTGCTGGGATTACAGGCTGGAGCCACCGTACTTGGCCTTAAACTAAGGGTTCTTAAACATTGTTTATTAGCAGGGTTTGGCAATTTTTTTTCAGTTTTTATTTTTTAATTTTTTGTTGTTTTGAGACAGTGTCTCACTCTGTTGCCCAGGCTGGAGTGCAGTGGCACGATCTCAGCTCACTGTAACCTCCACCTCCCAGATTCAAGCAATTCTCGTGCCTCAGCCTCCTGAGTAGCTGGGACTACAGGCATGCACCACCACGCCTGGCTAATTTTTGGATTTTTAGTAGAGACAGGGTTTCACTATATTGGCCAGGCTGGTCTCGAACTCCTGACTTCGAGTGATCTGCACACCTCGGCCTCCCAAAGTGTTGGGATTACAGGTGTGAGTGGCTGCTCCCAGTCAGAATTTGGAAATTCTTTACTTAAATGTGACATTGAACTCTGAGTGGCTTGTTTTATTAAGGAAAATAATTAAATTTCGCATCATATTAAGATTAATATTTTGCAGTTACGTTTATTTTGAGGCCGTTGATATTTATCTCCTTAAAACCTTTCTTTGATTAATTCAGTAAGTAAAGGATTTTGTAACTCAAACTACCTTACAACAAGAGGAGTTTATATCAACAGTCATTGTGAATCCATGGTACTGTAATTACCTACATTCTGGTCTCTAGCACTAGAGATAAGGGGCCCAGAAGCCCACTCTGGTGTGTGAGCACCTCTACAGGAATGGAAGTAAGGAGTAGTACCTCAGCTTTTGTTATTTTTTTAGAAACCGGCAAAGATCACAGAGAGCAATCTGTTAATTTGTTATTTATATTTATATATTTAGGTGCTACTGAGTCAAAATGGCTGTTATTTAGTATTTTCTGCATCTTCAGGGGTAATATTGGTCTTCCTCACTGCCAGCTGCTGGAAGTGCTACAAACACACAATCTGTGTTTTATGGCCCTCCTGTGTGGTGTTCCACAAAATTAAATTCAAACACTTCTGTAATTTATATTCTAAATGAATCAATATACTTACTCCTGGCATTTTTCACTGGAAAGTTGGACAAAATGTTCTATATGTTAGAAAAGGCCTCTATCAATGCATCTTGGAGGAATTTTTAAATACTTCTCTTTTATTGTTTTTGAGACAGTCTCCCTCTGTCACTCAGGCTGGAGTGGGGTGGCACAATCTCGGCCCACTGCAACTTCTGCATCTCAGGTTTAAGCGACTCTACCCCCTCAGCCTCCTGAGTAGCTGGGATTACAGGCACCTGCCACCACGCCAGGCTAATTTTTGTATTTTTAGTAGAGATAGGGTTTCACCATATTGGCAAAGCTGGTCTCAAACTCCTGACCTCAGGTGATCCACCCACCTTGGCCTCCCAAAGTGCTGGGATTACAGGCATGAGCCACAGTGCCCAGCCAAATACTCCTCTTTTACAACACCTGTGGCACT